TCTGATTAATCTGGTATAAGATGAAGGGAGATATCTCTCTTACGTACTTCATGTGGTAATACTATTGTGAAATAACAGATACTGTTGGTTCAAGCATTTCTCACAGGTTCCCCGTCATATTGCTTTCATCGGACAAAAACATTTTCGCTGAATTATCTCTATTCTGTTTCAATGACACAGTTGGTCCCTTTACTTACAAATCTGAAACTTCACAAATGATATTACTTTCTATTACCTAACTTTCCGTTATCAATTCAGTTGAAAGTTGTTTAGAAAGAAGTCTTGAAATTGAAGGTTTAGTCTTAGTATCACTACAACAGGAGATTTTGTGGATTTGAATGAAGCTATGCCATTGTGACCGATTTAGAAGTGTAATGGATGTGCACACATTGATGACTGGTAATAGGAATGTGGTTAACAACATGTGTGGATATTTGACATTCTGTTCACTCAAACTGGTCAGTGTAAATAGTTTTCAACAACATTTTCTTAAAGGTTTAGTGTCAAATCCTCGTTATTAGTTCAACTTACAAATAATTTCATTCATATTGTAGTGAACGAGAACACAAGTGGGCACAATCGAATGTATTTGAAGACACAAATTACGACTTGGTAAAAACTGAAAACCGTACAGTAAATACTTCATTTGCAAAATGTTAATCAATCGTCTCGAACATCTGTGTTTCTTTGCATCCACTGCAATCATTCTCTGTTCTCGTTCTCCTTCTCCGATCTTCTCAATCATCTACCGGCAAACAATTCACTTTCGATTCATGATACATACTATGTATTTTAGTCGACATCAGTAGCACACAACACAATATATCACAAGACTAACTTCTCAAAGATTTTGTAAGAGAAAAATGGAACCTACCAAGTCCCTTATTATTGACGAAAAATCTTCAAATTACATTTTATTCATTGCATTCTGACTGTGTGTATTTGTCTCTGATTGTGAGGTTAGCAAATTATATGGATTGATATATTCAAAAGATGCTCAGTATACTAGTCGGAATTAGAAATCATACTAATATCTACAGTATTCGCTCAATGAGTGAAACCATCAAAGTTAATATATACAAACACAGACGTTTACCTCTAGCGAGGTTCGGGACAATTCATCACAATACTGAGATACAACCGATGAGCAAAATCTATCATTTACAACCCTAAACAACAAAGATTTTCAAGACCGTTTCATACACAAACCAAATGAAATAGTGTATTATTTATGTGTGGATTTAACCAACTAATTTATTTCGGTTGGTATATGACACATTTCAGTAGTATTATTTACTATCAAGTATAAAAAGATGCTTTGAATTTGTTTGATTACACAAATGGTTTGACTTTGCTTCATTTCAGAACACAGACAACTCATTCACCAACCGATCACATCAGTACTGAACGAATTGTTAGTATGACAGAGAATGTCACTCACCCAATGTTCGCTGTAGAAGATGTCCACAGAATAGCAAATGAAACAAGAAGTAAGCTGATCTATTGGTATTACTGAATGAGAATAAGATTTTCTTTATCTATGGAAACTTTATAAGTAAATGTATAAACCTCTGTGAATACCGACGTGTTGAGAGTATTTGTAGAGCTTGTTAACTGAATGAATATCCATTTGCCAAACTGATGCTATTAGATAAACTACTAAATGAATGAATGAATGCATAATAGGGCGAGACTATAATTCATGGACGAAGCAATGAGGTTTAAGATAGGAGATGAGGGATTTTGGCGCAAAATTCACTCATCGATTTTTGGCTAAATTATATTTTGGCATTATAGCTGATGTGAGTTCGTGATGAAAACGTGAAATCTAATTCCTAACCTTAATCATCAACTGTAAATCACAATTCTCATTCCTCACACTGGTTCATAGCCTCATTTGTTCCTGGTTATGAGGTGGGCACTCTCAATGTCCCTCTAGCGTCGCTTAAACGTCGTCTGTAAATTATATTCTCACTCATAATACTTTCGACATTTTACATGCTGATTATTTTCATTCTTGTAGAAACCACATTGAAGATAGTTCAGGTAATCTAAATCGTTATTATTATCGAATTTTAATATGTTACACGTGTGATTGTTGTAAAAGTGAACATAGTTTAGTCGGAAATCTAGTTAGACTGCCAAACGTGCAGGTCAGCTATAATCAACAATTCTGTGTGTTTGTCTAACAATCTCAACATGGTGCACGCAATGTTGAGTCAGCTAGACTGGTAGACAAATTGCAACTTGGTCGATAGGTTTCGATCGGCACAAAGGCGGACCTGACTTGCATGACATTGATCACCAACCACCAGTGATCAATCAATTGTACACTTTACAAAGCTTATCTGTGAGAGTTAATAGTATGTTGTCTGTAGATATTTGTTGACAGAATTTAATGCTATGATATTATGATTTTGATTGACGAATCAATAATCTGGATTAGGTATGTGCTATTGCAAGATTAATGTTAGATGTGACGTTCACTGAAAACAAACATAGATACTGACTGATAAACAAATATACCTTGGTGATAATTTCTATGATGAACTAAACAACAGTATTTCTCCTCTTATCTTTAGAAGCGTTTAATGATGCAAACAGAATACAACGGTGTTCAGTTTCACTTGGTGATGAAGAGATGTAGTTGTAAACTGATCAAAGTTTGACAATTGGTCTTAATAAATCCGAATCCTTATTTCATCGTTTCATAATGCATATTTATTATTTATTTGAGCACATGTACATTGGTAGAAGGAAGCACGGAATGGATATGCGACACATAATTCGTCTGATTTATGTGATGGCTCGGTCAGTGATTGAGTGCGGAAGCCGAATTAGGTGGATATCTTAGTGGAGCACACCCGTCACCTTCGACTTAATTGTCTGATCCACAAGGCAGTGGAGTAACGTCAATAGATACTGTCACATGGAAGCCAGTTACTAACATTTGTTTCACATGGCCTTTGTTCCTTCAATATATTGGAGCCAATGTGCACCAATAATTTGGAATCAGTGTTAGTCAACTCTCCTAGATGAATTCTCCGTATCCACCAACCTTATTATTGCTCAGGTCATTGACATTTCCTCCTCTCCGTTTCGTTATGAACAATATTGCCGCGAGCAGGCAGTGTGTGGGACTTCCCTGTCAGTGGTTGCTTGCACGTGACCAGGTGAGAGTATATCGAAAGAGAGAGAGAGAGTTGACTCTCCCAACTCTCTGCCATACCAAGGCATTTGCGGATACGTATTGGTAGAGAAAGTTGAAGAATCAGTAGTTAAGATTATCAACTAGGAGATTAGTTCAGTTTCAATATGAATAACGTGTTTCATCAAATTATGTGAATATTCTATTATCAATGAATAATTTATGCAGTGAATCTATATATTTATTTATATTTATTCATTGACAATCAAATATTCCACCATACTTTTTATTCACAGTCATCTGATAAACAACGGTAAGTATAACTATATCAAACAAAACAAAGATGTCCTGACGAATGTTTACGTCCAGTCAATGAACTGATTAATAGTATGTAGCTTCAGGATTGTTAAATTATATTAAGATCACAAACGAAGATTTAACGGACAACAACTGGAGGAATGGAATCAGTGGAAGGTCGTTTTCTCTTAGAATAGAACTTCTCATCAGGGTTCATCCATGATCTTGCAAAACAGATTCGAGCTGAAAACGTACGATGTGGAATGTGAAAGCTTTAATCTGTACCTCCTGATCACTATTAGATGACATGCAATTCTTAATATCTCCAATCCACAATATTGTGTGATTATCTTCTATTATTGTATTTTGTGTGTGGATTTCTCTTGCCAACAAACTCGTGGTCTTATCACAATCCGAAATTCTCCACACCGAGATATCGATACACACGATTTATTCGCTAGTGACAAACTTTAGAAGCAAATTTTTATAATTGTGGTGAGAAGTCGTTGTTATAGAGTCTAGTCATTCCAGGTGTGAGATAAATGTTCGTCGAAGATAAAGAGATATGGTTAGTGAGTATCGTGTATTAATTGCCGTCAGACTGTGACATCATCGAGTGGTGGCTCAATGGTCTATATGTTGAGCATTGACATTCCGGATCGAAGGTATTCACTTCGACTCTGTTTGGCAGAGTCGTCAACGCACACCTCTGATTAATCTGGTATAAGATGAAGGGGGATATCTCTCTTACGTACTTCATGTGGTAATACTATTGTGAAATAACAGATACTGTTGGTTCAAGCATTTCTCACAGGTTCCCCGTCATATTGCTTTCATCGCACAAAAACATTTTCGCTGAATTATCTCTATTCTGTTTCAATGACACAGTTGGTCCCTTTACTTACAAATCTGAAACTTCACAAATGATATTACTTTCTATTACCTAACTTTCCGTTATCAATTCAGTTGAAAGTTGTTTAGAAAGAAGTCTTGAAATTGAAGGTTTAGTCTTAGTATCACTACAACAGGAGATTTTGTGGATTTGAATGAAGCTATGCCATTGTGACCGATTTAGAAGTGTAATGGATGTGCACACATTGATGACTGGTAATAGGAATGTGGTTAACAACATGTGTGGATATTTGACATTCTGTTCACTCAAACTGGTCAGTGTAAATAGTTTTCAACAACATTTTCTTAAAGGTTTAGTGTCAAATCCTCGTTATTAGTTCAACTTACAAATAATTTCATTCATATTGTAGTGAACGAGAACACAAGTGGGCACAATCGAATGTATTTGAAGACACAAATTACGACTTGGTAAAAACTGAAAACCGTACAGTAAATACTTCATTTGCAAAATGTTAATCAATCGTCTCGAACATCTGTGTTTCTTTGCTTCCACTGCAATCATTCTCTGTTCTCGTTCTCCTTCTCCGATCTTCTCAATCATCTACCGGCAAACAATTCACTTTCGATTCATGATACATACTATGTATATTAGTCGACATCAGTAGCACACAACACAATATATCACAAGACTAACTTCTCAAAAATTTTGTAAGAGAAAAATGGAACCTAACAAGTCCCTTGTTATTGACGAAAAATCTTCAAATTACATTTTATTCATTGCATTCTGACTGTGTGTATTTGTCTCTGATTGTGAGGTTAGCAAATTATATGGATTGATATATTCAAAAGATGCTCAGTATACTAGTCGGAATTAGAAATCACACTAATATCTACAGTATTCGCTCAATGAGTGAAACCATCAAAGTTAATATATACAAACACAGACGTTTACCTCTAGCGAGGTTCGGGACAATTCATCACAATACTGAGATACAACCGATGAGCAAAATCTATCATTTACAACCCTAAACAACAAAGATTTTCAAGACCGTTTCATACACAAACCAAATGAAATAGTGTATTATTTATGTGTGGATTTAACCAACTAATTTATTTCGGTTGGTATATGACACATTTCAGTAGTATTATTTACTATCAAGTATAAAAAGATGCTTTGAATTTGTTTGATTACACAAATGGTTTGACTTTGCTTCATTTCAGAACACAGACAACTCATTCACCAACCGATCACATCAGTACTGAACGAATTGTTAGTAAGACAGAGAATGTCACTCACCCAATGTTCGCTGTAGAAGATGTCCACAGAATAGCAAATGAAACAAGAAGTAAGCTGATCTATTGGTATTACTGAATGAGAATAAGATTTTCTTTATCTATGGAAACTTTATAAGTAAATGTATAAACCTCTGTGAATACCGACGTGTTGAGAGTATTTGTAGAGCTTGTTAACTGAATGAATATCCATTTGCCAAACTGATGCTATTAGATAAACTACTAAATGAATGAATGAATGCATAATAGGGCGAGACTATAATTCATGGACGAAGCAATGAGGTTTAAGATAGGAGATGAGGGATTTTGGCGCAAAATTCACTCATCGATTTTTGGCTAAATTATATTTTGGCATTATAGCTGATGTGAGTTCGTGATGAAAACGTGAAATCTAATTCCTAACCTTAATCATCAACTGTAAATCACAATTCTCATTCCTCACACTGGTTCATAGCCTCATTTGTTCCTGGTTATGAGGTGGGCACTCTCAATGTCCCTCTAGCGTCGCTTAAACGTCGTCTGTAAATTATATTCTCACTCATAATACTTTCGACATTTTACATGCTGATTATTTTCATTCTTGTAGAAACCACATTGAAGATAGTTCAGGTAATCTAAATCGTTATTATTATCGAATTTTAATATGTTACACGTGTGATTGTTGTAAAAGTGAACATAGTTTAGTCGGAAATCTAGTTAGACTGCCAAACGTGCAGGTCAGCTATAATCAACAATTCTGTATGTGTAAGATCCAAACTACGTTTGGACTGCTGGACAGCTGTCTGGATGAGTTAGATACGCGCCCTCGCCCGATTGAAACCAAAACAAGGTAATTGGGTAAGATAGCGGTTCTATAATTTATCATAAATTTAAGTGTACATTATTACCTAAACAAATATAACCACTCAGCTATCCAACCAATAATTGTTCAATTGATCAAATCTAAATTACAATAAATAAGAAAGTTGATAAAGGATGCAAGAAAATTACCAATCACAACAAATCAACGTTATTCAATCCTGGCTGGATAGATCACACACAACAGGAGGAACAAATCAATATGGCTACCGCCAAGAACAAGTGTCAAGTAAAACAACACAGATGCAGTTCAGGAAGAAACACAAACTTAGTGAATGCGTAAGAAAAACAAAAACTATAATAAAAATACAAGTATTAACAACTCAAATGTAATCAAAATACAACAATGTACAACTAAGGGAATCAATAGAAACAAAGTACAAGTATATACATGGAGGGATTTTCACCAACACATAAAGCCTTCAAAATGGATCTTACAGTATGTTTGTCTAACAATCTCAACATGGTGCACGCAATGTTGAGTCAGCTAGACTGGTAGACAAATTGCAACTTGGTCGATAGGTTTCGATCGGCACAAAGGCGGACCTGACTTGCATGACATTGATCACCAACCACCAGTGATCAATCAATTGTACACTTTACAAAGCTTATCTGTGAGAGTTAATAGTATGTTGTCTGTAGATATTTGTTGACAGAATTTAATGCTATGATATTATGATTTTGATTGACGAATCAATAATCTGGATTAGGTATGTGCTATTGCAAGATTAATGTTAGATGTGACGTTCACTGAAAACAAACATAGATACTGACTGATAAACAAATATACCTTGGTGATAATTTCTATGATGAACTAAACAACAGTATTTCTCCTCTTATCTTTAGAAGCGTTTAATGATGCAAACAGAATACAACGGTGTTCAGTTTCACTTGGTGATGAAGAGATGTAGTTGTAAACTGATCAAAGTTTGACAATTGGTCTTAATAAATCCGAATCCTTATTTCATCGTTTCATAATGCATATTTATTATTTATTTGAGCACATGTACATTGGTAGAAGGAAGCACGGAATGGATATGCGACACATAATTCGTCTGATTTATGTGATGGCTCGGTCAGTGATTGAGTGCGGAAGCCGAATTAGGTGGATATCTTAGTGGAGCACACCCGTCACCTTCGACTTAATTGTCTGATCCACAAGGCAGTGGAGTAACGTCAATAGATACTGTCACATGGAAGCCAGTTACTAACATTTGTTTCACATGGCCTTTGTTCCTTCAATATATTGGAGCCAATGTGCACCAATAATTTGGAATCAGTGTTAGTCAACTCTCCTAGATGAATTCTCCGTATCCACCAACCTTATTATTGCTCAGGTCATTGACATTTCCTCCTCTCCGTTTCGTTATGAACAATATTGCCGCGAGCAGGCAGTGTGTGGGACTTCCCTGTCAGTAGTTGCTTGCACGTGACCAGGTGAGAGTATATCGAAAGAGAGAGAGAGAGTTGACTCTCCCAACTCTCTGCCATACCAAGGCATTTGCGGATACGTATTGGTAGAGAAAGTTGAAGAATCAGTAGTTAAGATTATCAACTAGGAGATTAGTTCAGTTTCAATATGAATAACGTGTTTCATCAAATTATGTGAATATTCTATTATCAATGAATAATTTATGCAGTGAATCTATATATTTATTTATATTTATTCATTGTTAATCAAATATTCCACCATACTTTTTATTCACAGTCATCTGATAAACAACGGTAAGTATAACTATATCAAACAAAACAAAGATGTCCTGACGAATGTTTACGTCCAGTCAATGAACTGATTAATAGTATGTAGCTTCAGGATTGTTAAATTATATTAAGATCACAAACGAAGATTTAACGGACAACAACTGGAGGAATGGAATCAGTGGAAGGTCGTTTTCTCTTAGAATAGAACTTCTCATCAGGGTTCATCCATGATCTTGCAAAACAGATTCGAGCTGAAAACGTACGATGTGGAATGTGAAAGCTTTAATCTGTACCTCCTGATCACTATTAGATGACATGCAATTCTTAATATCTCCAATCCACAATATTGTGTGATTATCTTCTATTATTGTATTTTGTGTGTGGATTTCTCTTGCCAACAAACTCGTGGTCTTATCACAATCCGAAATTCTCCACACCGAGATATCGATACACACGATTTATTCGCTAGTGACAAACTTTAGAAGCAAATTTTTATAATTGTGGTGAGAAGTCGTTGTTATAGAGTCTAGTCATTCCAGGTGTGAGATAAATGTTCGTCGAAGATAAAGAGATATGGTTAGTGAGTATCGTGTATTAATTGCCGTCAGACTGTGACATCATCGAGTGGTGGCTCAATGGTCTATATGTTGAGCATTGACATTCCAGATCGAAGGTATTCACTTCGACTCTGTTTGGCAGAGTCGTCAACGCACACCTCTGATTAATCTGGTATAAGATGAAGGGGGATATCTCTCTTACGTACTTCATGTGGTAATACTATTGTGAAATAACAGATACTGTTGGTTCAAGCATTTCTCACAGGTTCCCCGTCATATTGCTTTCATCGCACAAAAACATTTTCGCTGAATTATCTCTATTCTGTTTCAATGACACAGTTGGTCCCTTTACTTACAAATCTGAAACTTCACAAATGATATTACTTTCTATTACCTAACTTTCCGTTATCAATTCAGTTGAAAGTTGTTTAGAAAGAAGTCTTGAAATTGAAGGTTTAGTCTTAGTATCACTACAACAGGAGATTTTGTGGATTTGAATGAAGCTATGCCATTGTGACCGATTTAGAAGTGTAATGGATGTGCACACATTGATGACTGGTAATAGGAATGTGGTTAACAACATGTGTGGATATTTGACATTCTGTTCACTCAAACTGATCAGTGTAAATAGTTTTCAACAACATTTTCTTAAAGGTTTAGTGTCAAATCCTCGTTATTAGTTCAACTTACAAATAATTTCATTCATATTGTAGTGAACGAGAACACAAGTGGGCACAATCGAATGTATTTGAAGACACAAATTACGACTTGGTAAAAACTGAAAACCGTACAGTAAATACTTCATTTGCAAAATGTTAATCAATCGTCTCGAACATCTGTGTTTCTTTGCTTCCACTGCAATCATTCTCTGTTCTCGTTCTCCTTCTCCGATCTTCTCAATCATCTACCGGCAAACAATTCACTTTCGATTCATGATACATACTATGTATATTAGTCGACATCAGTAGCACACAACACAATATATCACAAGACTAACTTCTCAAAAATTTTGTAAGAGAAAAATGGAACCTACCAAGTCCCTTATTATTGACGAAAAATCTTCAAATTACATTTTATTCATTGCATTCTGACTGTGTGTATTTGTCTCTGATTGTGAGGTTAGCAAATTATATGGATTGATATATTCAAAAGATGCTCAGTATACTAGTCGGAATTAGAAATCACACTAATATCTACAGTATTCGCTCAATGAGTGAAACCATCAAAGTTAATATATACAAACACAGACGTTTACCTCTAGCGAGGTTCGGGACAATTCATCACAATACTGAGATACAACCGATGAGCAAAATCTATCATTTACAACCCTAAACAACAAAGATTTTCAAGACCGTTTCATACACAAACCAAATGAAATAGTCTATCATTTATGTGTGGATTTAACCAACTAATTTATTTCGGTTGGTATATGACACATTTCAGTAGTATTATTTACTATCAAGTATAAAAAGATGCTTTGAATTTGTTTGATTACACAAATGGTTTGACTTTGCTTCATTTCAGAACACAGACAACTCATTCACCAACCGATCACATCAGTACTGAACGAATTGTTAGTATGACAGAGAATGTCACTCACCCAATGTTCACTGTAGAAGATGTCCACAGAATAGCAAATGAAACAAGAAGTAAGCTGATCTATTGGTATTACTGAATGAGAATAAGATTTTCTTTATCTATGGAAACTTTATAAGTAAATGTATAAACCTCTGTGAATACCGACGTGTTGAGAGTATTTGTAGAGCTTGTTAACTGAATGAATGTCCATTTGCCAAACTGATGCTATTAGATAAACTACTAAATGAATGAATGAATGCATAATAGGGCGAGACTATAATTCATGGACGAAGCAATGAGGTTTAAGATAGGAGATGAGGGATTTTGGCGCAAAATTCACTCATCGATTTTTGGCTAAATTATATTTTGGCATTATAGCTGATGTGAGTTCGTGATGAAAACGTGAAATCTAATTCCTAACCTTAATCATCAACTGTAAATCACAATTCTCATTCCTCACACTGGTTCATAGCCTCATTTGTTCCTGGTTATGAGGTGGGCACTCTCAATGTCCCTCTAGCGTCGCTTAAACGTCGTCTGTAAATTATATTCTCACTCATAATACTTTCGACATTTTACATGCTGATTATTTTCATTCTTGTAGAAACCACATTGAAGATAGTTCAGGTAATCTAAATCGTTATTATTATCGAATTTTAATATGTTACACGTGTGATTGTTGTAAAAGTGAACATAGTTTAGTCGGAAATCTAGTTAGACTGCCAAACGTGCAGGTCAGCTATAATCAACAATTCTGTGTGTTTGTCTAACAATCTCAACATGGTGCACGCAATGTTGAGTCAGCTAGACTGGTAGACAAATTGCAACTTGGTCGATAGGTTTCGATCGGCAAAAAGGCGGACCTGACTTGCATGACATTGATCACCAACCACCAGTGATCAATCAATTGTACACTTTACAAAGCTTATCTGTGAGAGTTAATAGTATGTTGTCTGTAGATATTTGTTGACAGAATTTAATGCTATGATATTATGATTTTGATTGACGAATCAATAATCTGGATTAGGTATGTGCTATTGCAAGATTAATGTTAGATGTGACGTTCACTGAAAACAAACATAGATACTGACTGATAAACAAATATACCTTGGTGATAATTTCTATGATGAACTAAACAACAGTATTTCTCCTCTTATCTTTAGAAGCGTTTAATGATGCAAACAGAATACAACGGTGTTCAGTTTCACTTGGTGATGAAGAGATGTAGTTGTAAACTGATCAAAGTTTGACAATTGGTCTTAATAAATCCGAATCCTTATTTCATCGTTTCATAATGCATATTTATTATTTATTTGAGCACATGTACATTGGTAGAAGGAAGCACGGAATGGATATGCGACACATAATTCGTCTGATTTATGTGATGGCTCGGTCAGTGATTGAGTGCGGAAGCCGAATTAGGTGGATATCTTAGTGGAGCACACTCGTCGCCGTTGACTTAAGTGTCTAATCCAATGTGAATTAAATTAACCGAATGAGATGCATTTCCATGGTTGAGGCCGGCGAACCCTATTTTTATAATCCATTTGTTTCCATATAATCCTGGAGCGCTTTTGCACTATTTGTTCGTATTATGGACTGTCCAATTCTTCTAGCTCTGCGTTTGTGTGCATGAACCCGTTGAATGTGCCGTGCACTCGCTTTTCGTCATCCCAATTTCATAAATAACATTATGATCGCGAGCAGTCAGTTAGTGTGTGCTAGGGTTAAATCTATCACGTGTTCACTTAATCTGTGAACGAGAATCATTACTCAGTGACCATAGACTAGTAAGCTAGCTATTGATGCGTTCCAGCCCCGCTAACTAGAGTAAGAAGTCCAAGCTTGGAATGGGGAAGTATGTTCTGCAAATAGCCAGAAACGATCGATAACAACAAACACAATTTAAAACGTATATATACAGTACAAAACAGTCCATGGGTAACGTTACCAAATAGCATACTAAAAGACGCAACGGACCAATAGCATTTAAGATATTTCCCAATGTGAAATACGACATGAAGGTGACAAGAGCGCCTTTGCCCCCAAAATAAAGAAATTCAAATTTTCTAAATAAAATTACAAAATTAGGTCCTTTCCCAAGTGAGTTCTGGGCATCGAACGTATTCAACAGTGGGACTTCCCTGTCAGTGGTTGCTTGCACGTGACCAGGTGAGAGTATATCGAGAGAGAGAGAGAGAGAGAGAGAGTTGACTCTCCCAACTCTCTGCCATACCAAGGCATTTGCGGATACGTATTGGTAGAGAAAGTTGAAGAATCAGTAGTTAAGATTATCAACTAGGAGATTAGTTCAGTTTCAATATGAATAACGTGTTTCATCAAATTATGTGAATATTCTATTATCAATGAATAATTTATGCAGTGAATCTATATATTTATTTATATTTATTCATTGACAACCAAATATTTTACAATAATTTTGATTCACAGTCATCTGATAAACATCGGTAAGTATAACTGTATCAAGCACAGATTTCTTGAATTATGTTTATGTTTATTAAATGAGATGGTTACTAGTATATGATACACCTGATTTATTCGCTCTTGACAAACTTTAGAAGTGAACTTCTTCAATTCTGGTGAGAAGCCGTGGCTATACAGTCTAGCTATGCCAGGTGTGATATAAATATCCGTCGATATCGGTATCGTGAACTGATTGCCGTTAGACTTTGATTTCATGTGATGTTAGCTCAGTGGTTTAGAGGTTGAGCATTCTCATTCCCGATCGACGGTACTCACTTCGACTCTCTTTGGCAGAATCGTAAATTGAAATCCTTCTGTGTATGTGTAACAGCTTAGGTTGGTTGGTTAAGAGTTGACCTCAAACAACCAAGCATATACCAAAACAGTATAGTTCAAGTATTCATTCACTTACTTATTTTGCTAAGTCGTTATATTTCCTATTATCTTATATTGAATGTTGAGAAGTTTTGTTTGTCTGAACAAATAATCCCACGCTCCACTGTGACTGTGTGAAGATCTAAATAAAGACCTATTCACTACTTGTCTGGTTTCTTCTATCAATATCACGTCGGGCTCATCAGTTTCATGCCTACAGGTAACCCTCGTGCTATGTATATGTATATTCAGATTGTTCAATTGTCGTTATTACTTAACGTACGTTTGTCACTAGATCAGTAATGTAAAATATGTATACACAACTTAAATGTAACTTATCAAAATCCCTAACAATCTAATCGGTCAGACTGTCTTTGAATAAAAATCTTTAAACCTGAATAAATGATCATATAACCCATCAAAATTGAGAAAACATCAGTCACTACTACAAATACAAATACGTCCACATGGTTAACAAAATACATTAGCTAATTAATGTTTACTATCAGAATACTCACAGACGTCTGCTGAACTTTTACACATTGACACTATACATCTGAGTTTGGTTCGTAAATGCTACGGTTGTGATTCAACTTAGAAGGTTTTGAAATGTTATGGACCAAAAAAATATTTGTAAAACTTTCTTTATGATATCTTATATGTGCGTTAGTTTCCCGAATAGTCATCATTAAACAATAAATTTTTGATAGTTGAGATCATGAGTCAATTGAGGCTAGACCACTATGGAAAACCCATAAGCAATGAACGGCCATTCCGACTTATTGTGGGGCTTCTCAACAGTGCACAACCACAATCCCGCCTCGCGAGATTTCAACACAGGGCCTGTCGGTCACGCGCGCGAACGCTTAACCTCTAAACCACTGAACTTGCCGGCATCCAACGGTGTTAATATCTAACTTCAACTAATCCATGAAATAAATTCTTGTTTAAAATTGTTGATTATCACTAGTTGATTTATGTATATGTCACACAATTGAAGAAAATATTACTCAGTGGTTTCCTTCCTACTTTAAAAATCAGTTCGTATGGATATTCCTTACCGTTTTTAAATATCGAATAAACAAAGACTGGATATACAAGTACTTGGCTCAAGATCAACATCACAGTCTCTTATAGATATTACCTACTACCATCGAAATAATTACATCTATGAATTTGATGTTCATCTTGCTATGTTAATGTGGTGAGGTAACTTGAACAGATGCATATATGTACCTGGTCCCACGTTGTAGCTGACTGGCCGACTACCTACAAACTGGAAAATTTTTCAAAAATCTTATAAACTATGATTTTTATTGACGACCATGTCTGATAAGATAATTAAGGGATCTTAAATGAAGCCAGCAAAGAGTACAAGAAATTACACAAGCGCGAATCTATGTTAATACTACAAATTGTAATTTATACTGTACAGTAGGTAGATAGTGTGAAGACTTAAGATACGCATAATAGAACGTTTCTTCATCAACATTTATAATAATAGTCAAACTTAGCGCCAAATCAGTATGTTATAATAAGTCTTGCAACTTTCAATTTTCATAATCTTACTTCTTTCTTATTGAACATTCGGTTACATTCATCACATGTTCATAAATTTTGACAGATATTTCTTATCAGTATAAAGATGTGGAGATTATTAGGTTTTTGGTTGTGATCATGAACCTAATGATTTTAGACCACCATTGAAAACCTGGAAGGACTGGACAGTCGTTTCGTCCTACTGCGGGACTCCTCAGCAGCGCTCATCCGCGATCCCGCTTGCGGGATCCAAACCCAGAGCTTTCAGAATCGCGCGCGAAAGCTTAACCTCTAGACAGCTGACACGGTGTCCAACGGTGTTTAATCAAGATGTTTATTCAAATGAATTCATTGTTTCAGTTAATTTTAACCGATTTATCTTCATAGTGGAGATAACTTGTTGCTCATGTGGCTGATTTTGATGGAGTTTTGTTCTCTGAGCTGGATGGTTTGATCATGGAGCTTTCATCGTTCTTCTGAACGACATTATCAGCACAAACTTCAGGTAAACTGATGATATCGTTCAGAAGGACGATGAAAGCTCCACGACCAAACCATCCAATTCGGAGAACAAAACTAAGTCAATATTTATCTTTACCTACAATCCATTTTTGCATGATTTCAGACCAATATTTATTCGTTCACCATTAAATAAAATTGATTCACAAGGATATGTTTTTCAACCAAAAATAGACACCAGTAACAACTTTTCTGTTGATAATGATGTCCATAATATAAAAAATAAAACTAAAGGTAAGTTTTCTTTCCAATGCTTCTAATAAAATAACCTAAATTATTAGTAAACCAGTCTTTATCCATGTTTATACACCATTAGATTGATTGTAAAAAAGTCTTTAAAAAATTGTTTAATGGTTGGATTTATGAGTCAATTGAAGCTAGATCACTATGGAAAACCTGGAAGCACTAGACGGCCCTTGGATGCCTACTCAGTGGTTTGGAGGTTAAATGTTCGCGCGCGTAACCGATAGGTGCTGGTTTTAAATCGTGGATACACACTGATGAGGAGTTCCATAGTAGGACGAAACGGCCGTCCTTTGCCTCCAGATTTTCCATGGTGCTCTAGCTTCAATTAACTCATGAATTCAACTATTAAATTACTACAGTCTCCGCAAAACCCCTATCTGAAAAAAACTATTGCTTGTTTTACAATTTTTCAAATAAATATTTCAGATAAAACTTGATTAAGTCAAAAACAAAAGGATTACATATCCAGACGATAAATCTGTAAATAATGACAACCATGAGTAACTAATCTAAGAACCATTTGACAATCAATTATGTCCATCAAATAATTTCAAACTTTAGTTTCATTTTGTTATAACCTGTGACATTGTATCCCTATCAATATAGAGCGTCATGATACCACCAATTAGAGAACAGTGAATTATCAACCGAAAAAATGACCCATAAACCTCGTAGTCTAGAGACTTTATCGGTTCTACGTGTTGCCTACACCTTCCTGTTAAGTCTAGAACACCAATCTTAACCGAGAACAAGAACATAAGTGGTGATAATCGAGAATCATACAGTGAATACTTCATTTGCAAAATATCAATCTTCTCAAAATTGGAACTTTTTTGCAGATGTCATTCAGTCATCTCAAACTTCATTGTTACTGCATTTTTACATCAATTGCTTTCTGTTCTCGTTCTTTCCTCCTTGATCTTCATGACCTTCTGCTGCCAGACATTCCATTCCTGACTACTTATGACAATATAAATAGCATACACCACAAAATGAATCATGTATTTTAAACAAACTGGGTTTATATACCAACCAAACAGTTCGTATCATACTATAAAATTGAAAATACACATTTGTACAAGATATAGCTAAAAGTGTCTGTGAATGTGGGAGACTGTAATTAAGAGACTGGACATAAATCAAGAATAGTAAATCGTATCATAATAGTTCATAGGTCAAAATAAAGCTTATAACAAGAGGAACATGAATATGCATAGTTTAGTTACCTAATAATTATACAATAAGAATATATATATTAGTCCATAAATGGATACTAACAGTTGTCATTCATTATTCATATCGGGATATAGCACATCTCTATTATACATGTTTATTAAAACTGAATTATGAGCAACGCTTACTTAACTTGTTATCGTTGATCGTGATCAACATAGATCATAGATATCTATGATCTATTTTCATAGATTTTATGGAAGATCTATAACTTTGTACTAAAGACGATATTAATTAACTATCTTTATATGTTTTTAACGTAATTCATCAACTCATAATTAATGACGATTCTATTCACCTAATAGATCCATTTCAAATCGTTTCCTTTTTGATACTTCATAGAACGAAAATATGATAAGGTTTTAGAAATTTTATTAACACGAACAAATGCTCAACGCCAACAAATCGCATTTCATTATAACAAAATCTTTAAAACGGTAAGTTTTAAAATATTTGTCCACCCTTTTTTTGTTAAATGTTTTGTACTCACACCTCCTTTTCTATGTTTCTCAAGAGAAATGAAGTACTGTTTAATCGGCCATGGTATAGTCGAGAGCGGAGAGGGTCAGCTCTCTTTCTTGATATGTTCTCAAATTGTCACGTGCAGACAGCCACTGACAGGGAAGTCCTACTTACTGCCTTCTCGCACCAGGGATGTTGTTTACGAAACTGAGAGGATGAGAAGCGAATGTCCGGCGGTTTAACCGGGTTAGTGGACACAGTGAGTCTACCTAGAGGAGTCGGAAAACCCTGACTACAAAACAATGGTGTCCAGTATCCTGAAGGAAGAAATGGGATATGAAGCAACCGTTGGTCACTGGCTACCATGTGACTGCATTTCCTTAAGTTGCTCCACTGCCTTGTGGATTAGACATTTAGATCGAAGGTTCCGGGTGTAACCCCCTAAGAAAACTACCTGCTTGAGTTCGGGCACCCAGAAAGTATCCCATCCCTCATAAAAATCGAAGGATTTATGTGTTGCATATCTACTTGGTGCCTCCTTGTATCAATGTTTATGTTTTTAAATAAATAAATAGATAAATTTATGAATGCATTTCAAAAGTAGTAAGTAAATAGTTGTCAACCAAGATTTTCAAAAGTTTATATTTTTCATATTTATCAAGGTTAATATACATTTACTACATTGAGGACAATGTTTAAACTATACTCCTCGTAAACATACTATACCTTCTACTTGTATTGTCGATTTTCATGAATGTATATCTGATATAAGATAAACATGTATTACATTATATACAAAGATGGATAGTGCATAACAGTGGAATCCAGGACGCGCGTTGGGTCTGATTTGAGACTCGTCAGCTGAATGATAGCAAGTGGCTATTAGGACTCAATAGCTAAGTGGATAACGCGATGGTTTACTGGTTAAGCGCTCGCACGCAAGGCAAGGTCGTGGATGCACACTGCTGAGGAGTCCCATACTAGGACGAAACAGCCGTTCGGTGCTTCCGAGTTTTCCATGGTGGTCTAGCTTCAATTGACTCATGATCTCAACTACTGAAATAAATATTATTCTTACTGAACTATGAACACCGGAGGGGGGGTCTTTAATGAGCTTTACATATTTTATTCAATCTGAATGCACAAATTCAATACTTGATTTCATATTCGTTTTACATCAATATTCTTAACTTCACTTTGTTTTCCTTATTATTTAGTCATTAATGAATGAAATGAACAATGTGAAACCGAATAATTTGAAACTATTACTTCAAGATCTATTAACAGATACATCAATTTTATTTGCTGAAGAATTGTATAAAGCAATATATACATCAAATTTACAAATAACAACTGGTTTATTGATGGATTTCTGGGAAAATGAATTTAATCAAGTGGAAAATATTTATAAATTATGTTAGTAATACAGTAGATATTATCATAATTACTTAATTACTTACGCCTGTTACTCCCAATGGAGCATAGGACGCCGACAAGCATTCTCCAACCCACTCTATCTTGAACCTTCCTTTCCAGTTCTATCCAATTGTTATTCTTTCTTCTCATGTCTGCCTCCATTTCTAAGCCTAATGTATCCTTTGATCTTGCTCTCCTCCTTTAACCTTGAGGATTCCGAGTGAGGGTTTGCCTTGTGATGCGGTTGGGTGTTTTAATCAATGTGTGTCCTATTCACTTCCAGCACTTCTTCCTGATTTCTTCCTCCGGTGGGATCTGGTTTGTTTTCTCCCACAATAGGTTGTTGCTAATAGTGTCTACTTAACAGATCCGAAATATTTTGCGTAAACAATTGTTAATAGACGCTTATATCTTCTGGATGATTGCTTTTGTAGTTCCCCAAGTTTCCGCCCCATACAGTAGAACTGACTTGACATTTGTATTGAAGATGCTGACCTTGGTGTTGGTTGACATGTGTTTTGAGTTCCAAATGTTCTTCAATTGTGGATTTGGTGCATCAGACCCACTGTGTTCATCATTGATGCTGGCCAAATATGTAAAGGTCTTTGCATCTTACCAAACTTCTCCGTCAAGTGTGATTCGATTGGTGTATGCTGTGATGTATCGGAGAATCTTGCTCTTCCCTTTGTGTATGTTGAGACCTACTGCTGCTGAGACTGCTGCTATACTGGTCGTCTTCTCCTGCATTTGTTGTTGTGAGCGCGATAAAAAAGCCAGGTTGTCTGCAAAGTCTAGACCATCCAGTTGCATGATAGCTGTCCACTGTATCGCATGCTTCCCTACGGATGTTGACATCACCAGCAGAAAGAGGGTAGGTGAGAGTAAAAAATCTTGCCTAATACCGGTCTTTACTTCAAACGAGCTTGTGAGCTGTTCTCCATTCACGATTTTGCAGTTTAATCTATCATAGGGATTCCGTATTATATTGACTCTCTTTTCAGGCACGCCTAGTGTGAAAGAAGCCTCCATGGTGTTTTCCTGTCCACGTTATCAAATTCTTTCTCGTAGTCAGTGAAGTTGATTTAGAGTGATGATTTCCATTCAATTGATTGTTCCATATCACATATTTGTGCAAATCTCAGTAACAATGAAATCTAGAACACGATTCTTTCATTTTTAGTTCATCTCGGGTAAATAAACTACGATTTCTGATATTTAAATTCATAAAGAACCTGGAGCATAGCTTTAAGTGAATAAACTCCGTAGCTTAATGAGTAGAGAGTATAAACAAGAGATAGAAACAAATTCGAATGAATCACATTCTTCTCTTAATTGATTAGTTTTGTCCATGTGTGTACATATTTCATTTTAATTGCTTAGATTCGTTTTTAGATCTGATGTATGACTTCACTTCTCTAGTCTATTACAGTTTATATTGCCTAATTAAATATGATAAGAATTCACTGCAAGCTACGAAGTACAAGATGGTTTTCCAATTATGCAACTCTTTGTGCTATATATTCTTGAAAACTGATAAGATGGGATAGATAACTGAAGTGTATCAACTTAATATCACATTAGCTACTGAGTCCTGATAGCCACTCGCTTGTTGAACAACTACTGTTTTCAAATTAATTTATAATTGTTTTATTCATAATTTGACAACAGTTGAATTAAATAGTGGCCATCTGAACTCAGCAAATAAGAGGATAACGTGTTGTCCTTTTAAGCCAAAAGTACCAGGTATGAGTCACAGAATGAGCTTACATATCCAGGTACACTCAGCTGACGAGTCCTAAGACGTCTGGTGTATTCTTGAAAAGTATAGTTCTTAAAAACAAAGAAATGATAGATTTAACTAAATGGACAATCAATACATTATCTTTCCGGTCATCAACATTTTCACTTATTATCATTTTGTTCTGATACTGTAGTTTTAATGATTCAAAATCAATAAATTCAAAAGCCACAGTTCGAAACATTCAATTCTAGTTTTATGATTAGACTGAATGAATAACCTTCTAGTTTCGCCGAACGAACTTCGTTGAAACATAATGAAAATGTTGTCACTTCAAGTCACATTTGGAACAATGAAAGACTATCATGGTATTCAATTCGTTCTACAGATTACTCATTTTATTGATAATCATAGTCCAATATAGTGTCGTTTTTGATGGAGATTTGTCCTCTGAGCTGGATGGTCTGCTAGACGTTTGCACTGATGATTTCGTTCAGAAGAACGACAAAAGCTCTACGATCAAACCATCCAGCTCAAAGAACAAAACTATCAAAATCATCCACCTGAGCTACAAATCTCCACCATCTCAAAATCATATGAGCGTAGTACGCTTTTAGTTGTTCAAAAATGGGAGAAATTCGCCAAAACACAGGCTTTTACTCGAGAACAACTGTATTTTCTCCCCGAGTGTCCTCATCAGCATGTTCTACCAGTAATGTCGTTTCCCCCCCCCCCGATATTCAAATTCCTGTGTTATATTGGAACACATGGTAAAATAAACTTAGAATAGATTGTTTGATTTCTGACTACATTACAATCTAATGCTAACTCATAAATGAGACTAATTTTATTGTTATACTCGGCAATTATAGTCACTTTTAGATAATGTTTGACAGGAGTTCCTCTTTTGTTTAGATAATAAATGGCGCTCCTCAAGCAGTAACAGGCCTAAGTAAGTAAGTAAGAAAGAAAGAAAAGTTGACATTCTATTTTTCACTATCTTTTAACATTACAGATTCGAATGAATCAATTTGGAAGAGTATAGAAAAACGATTCGGAAAATCTACACAAGAATTTATACAATGTGTAGTTGAAACAAGAAAAGTTAAAATTGAACAACAACTAACTGAAGATGATGTTTTTAAGCCGGTAGTTAATATGAATGAAGTTAGTAAAACATTTCATGTTTTGTTGAAACAAATGAATTCAGTGTAAGTCCATCCTTGTTTCAATATACATGTTAAAGGAATGTATTCACTGTACTAATTTCTTTCTAATTAGTTTAACATCAGAGAGAAGTTTTGTGGATATTACAGTAATTTAATTGTTGAACTCATGAGTCAGTTGAAGCTAGACCACCATGGAAAACCTTGGAGGTACTGGACGGCCGTTTACGTCCTAATACGGGAATCCTCACGATCCCGCCTAGCGAGACTCGAACCCAGGACCTGTCAGTCCCGCACGCGAGCGCTTAACCAGTAGGCCACTGAGCCGGCACCCAACGGTGTTAATGTCTAACTTCAACCAATCCACGAATTGCCGCGAGACTGATAGGTCGTGGGTTCGACTCTCGCGAGGCGGGATCGTGGATGCGCATTGCTGAGAAGTCCCATACTAAGACGAAAAGGCCGTTTAGTGCTTACAGGTTTTCCATGGTGGTCTAGCTTCAATTGACTCACGAATTCAACAATTAAATTAATATAAGTATGATTTACAATAGTGAAGTAATACTCATCGAGTGGATAGGTTACGTAGTAATTATGTAATGACATATCGATGATAAATTAATATTGAATAATTGTAAGAAAGAGGATTAATGATATTGGAAGCATTTATTTGAAAATCAAAAAGTTGCTACGTTGCATAATATATAAAAAGGAGAAAGAACTAATAGGATATTTTGATGAATGGTCAGTAGTACGGTAGTTATGTAAGAATTAAGAGACCAATGTTGAAAATAAGTAAAGTACAAAAAATGGAAGAAATACGAAAGTAGTTTATCAAAGTTCTGCTACAAACTCCCTTATACCAATGGCCAAGGTAGTGAGAGTGATTGTACACACTTATTATAAATGCAAAGGTTAGGTTTGTGATCATAGTTTACAATGGCTTCAGTAATATGCAAAAGATGCGCTCGTAAACCATGTGGCGAATTTGTTAGAATATGGTGGATAACCTTCAAAGCTTTATTCATTTCAACTTGATGACCTGTGTCCATCAAGTGAGCTAGAATAGTACTCCTAATCACTCTTACCTGTCCTTTGCTTAAACATGACGCATGGTGTTCTGTTATACGATGATGAACTTGCCAAATTGTACGCCCTATATAACTGGCTCCACAGGAGCAGTTGAATCGATAAATACACATGGATTTGGCGAATTCAGACTATCTGTTTTTATTAGCCGATTTTATTGTGGGGTGGTTGTAAAAGATAGCACTCAGTCTGGCTGTATTAAATATTTTTGTACCGCCCTTTTTATTCTCTGAGTCACAATTTCTTCAGTAGTATCATTTAGGAATTGTAATTTTAAGAACAACAATTTCTTTAGAACGGTAGGTACCCTCATTCTACTTTTCATCTCCTTCATGTGGTTGTCAATGAATTTCGTTGGGTATCCATTTCTACCAAGGAAAATACGAATATTAACCACTTCATCTACAGTGATGTCATCCGAGCAAATCATTCTAGCACGAGGAGTCAGGGTCTTTATTATGTTTCTTTTGTATCTGACTAGTGCTGTACTATAGTGCGATACTGAACTCGCCACATGCTCCTGTTGAGCCAATTGTATAGGGCGTACAATTCTGCAAGTTCGTCATCCTATAACAGAACACCATCCGTCGTGGTTGATTTATGTTTGCTTTATAAATGAATAAATCAGAAAAGTTTGGATGAATAACTCATGTTTATTTTGACTTAGCTACCAAATAACCGCTAAATGGATATAGTTCGTGATGCGATACAATAAAATTTAGCTCTCCTTTAATCAGATTAGTTACACTGAACGTTTCTTAGAAATTCGTTAATCTAAAAATCTAACCAACTATACTAACTATTCAACTGTATGACTAAATCTTACGTAATTCAACTACTATTAGTAAGACTGGATTACCATATAGAGAATGTACATAAATCCTGTGTCTAATTGTGAACGTCTTGGATATCTAGTTGACAACCATAATTTCGGTACAATGCCTGGGAGTGGTTAGCAGTGGAATCCAGGACGCGCGTTTCGTCCTATTTGGGGCTCATCAGTTGAACATACTTGCATCTTACAGCTGAAAGTCACTCTTGGATTCGAACCTAGTACCGTTGGCTTCAAACGCTATCGCGTTATCCACTTAGCTACTGAGTCCTGATAGTCACTTGCTTTTGCAATGGGGTGAAGTTTTAAATTCACTTGATGGTATTTACTTGTATCTTTTCATTGTTATTTAGCAATGCAAGTGATTAGTAAGTTCTCTGCTGCGAAGTCAATAATACTCAGGACAATAGTCTTCATAGTCATCATTATCTTAGATTGATAACGTGTATTTTAACTTAGAAGTAAAACTAAACTGTACATGGTAAATTGTATTGTTTATGTGAATTTTACATTATTCATTACATTTTTACTTAGTTTTATAGCAACTCTTTTTTTCTGCTTTACAATTTTGATTTTCTAACTTTATCCTGAATTTTATTGATTTTAGGGAACATAATCAACAACAGTTAAGTAATCTTCTCTGTAAACTTAATCCATTTCAAATAGACGAATTAGATATGATGTACCAACGAGTGAGTAAATTAACTGATACTATTAACTATTCTCATATAGACATATATATTAGAAAAGTTGTAACAGCTTTGTAAGCAACGATGGATAGTGGTTAACAGTGAAATCCAGGGCGTGGCCTTCGTCCTATCTGGGACTCGTCAGCTGGATTTATCTGCATCTCACAGTTGAAGTTGACTCTGAAAGTCGAACTGACTACCGTCCGCTTCAAACGTCATCACGTTATCCTTTTAGCTACTGAGTCCTGATAGTCACCTGTTTGTGCAATGAGGTGAAGTTATATCCATTTGGTATCGTTTTTTACTTATATCTTCCCATTGTTATTTAGGACTGCAATTATTCAGTCTTTTATTGATATATGTACACCCTGTGCGGACTCTCTCGATATTGCCTGAAGTCACAATCTTCATAAGCAAAGATGGATAGTGGCTAGCAGATAAGAGACTGATCATTTGTAGTCCTAAATAACAATGGTAAGATACAAGTAAACAACACCAAGTTATAACAGTTCCTATATATGGTTAGGGTTAGGTTGTATGTAAGAATTCTGCATTGAATATTTGGAAATAGTATTATTTGTAGTTGATGTGAGATTAAAAGCGAATTGTTTTTCTCAATGACGGTAATCTGATTTTGATCTTGGCTTTATTTTATTAAAAGGATTTCAGAAGAGTGTCCTCTGAATTGATTCAACGTGGATCATCTGGTGAAATGCATGATTTATTAATGTCATTGTGTAAGTATTATTTATCTAGTTTTCTTTATGTTTAACTTCAATCTACTTAAATTGTGAATGTGATGAGGTCAATAAAACTGCTATCGGTATACATGTATTAGTTCATTATCAGCTGATTAAACGAATAAAATTCCAACTCAACATTAACGTGTTTATAATTGTTCCTATGTACCAATGGAAATAAGCAAATGCTGTAATCTCTTTTAGCTAATAAGAATATTTTTTAAACAAGATTGTTTACAAAGTTGGAAGGCTAACACGATCATTCTCAGATTGTGCGATTATCCAGGTATCTAAATACTTATCAAGATTAATGTTTATATATATCACATGAAAGGAAATTCCCTACTATGTTTTTACTCGATGATATTCACGTTTTATAGTCGTCTGAAAACTTAAGAACGTTTAAGAAATTAGAGTCAACACAGCCCGAGCTCCCAAGTTTGGGGAAATTTTGGGATATTTTGTGGAAATTCTCGAAGTCAAATCACCTTCACCAATTAATGGGGAAATATGGGGGGTCTGAGGAAATTTTAGGGTTTTTGTGCCATTTCCACAAAATTTCCCCAAAGTTTACTATGAAGCCTTCCCTAATATTTCAATAAAATGAGTCAAATTTTCCCCAAAATTAGGAGCTCGAGACGAACAAAGACTTGTGACCGAAGACCAATAAACTAGCTATTCTATTGCGGCTCAGCACCGCTAACTAGAGAGAGAGGTCGAAGTCTGAACGGGAAAGTATATTCTGCAAAAAGCCAGAAGCACGAGTGATAACAACAGATAAATCAAAACGTATATGTACAGCACAAAACCGTCCTTGGGAGGGGTTACAAAATAGCATACTAAAACACACAACGAATCAACAGCGTTCAAGATTCTCCCAAGTGGGAAACACGATATGAAGGTGAAAAGAGTGATTTGTTGCGAAAAAAAGAAATCCAAATTTTCAAAATAAAATAATAAAATTAGGACATTTTTCAAGTGAGTTCTAGGGATTTAACGTCCCCAACAGTTCTTCATCCCAATGCATTACCTAATAAACATCTGGATTCAGTAGCCAAGTGTATTACGTGTCTATATTTGACCCAAGCGTTACTGAGTTCACGGCAATCCTCACAAGATTCTCATAGCCAAAACCGGACTGATCAATTCTGGTGCTCCAAATCAGTTTTGAATAATCTGATCACACATGTACTTGTCAGCACATTTAATATAAAGATTAATAAAGGTCATTTAGATAGTGTCATAAGAAGACGAATATTATCAGAACTATATGTATTTACATAGTTCTGACAATTTTCGTTTTTTGATGGAATTTTGTTCTCTGAGTTGAATGGTTTGGTCGTGAAGCTTTTATCGTTCTTCTGAATGACATCATCAGCTCAAACTTCAGATAGAAGTGAAGTGTTTGAATATCTCTACATGTGGTTCACAGCTTGTACTGTAGACCTCGATGTTGACTGCTTCTTGTTGACCTTAAACTTGTCATTGTTTACTTCTTTATTTTGGTTTTATCTTCTATCGGTTTGATTTTTGTTCCTATGTTTTTCTGCGGAAAGCTCCATGACCAAACCATTTAGCTCGAAAAACAAAACTGCATCAAAATCATCCACCTGAGCTACAGATCTTTACTATTTTAAAATCTTCGTATTCTTATTACACTATCGAAATTTATCAAAGTGACTAATTGCTTTAAAGTTCATTTCATTTCTAGTAAGAATTGCTTATTATTAATCGACTGACTTTTCATCTACATCATTTCAGATAAATATTCTGTAACGAAACCAATGTATTTTGCTATCTTAATACATGATGCACTTTATAAAGAACTTATCGATATGTTAACTGCTCAACGTTTACTTATTTTTCGTTCAGAAGTACGTTTATGTGAAATAAATGAAATCTTTCCTCGTTATGGTTTATCCATTTTCACTTTAAATATGTTATAAGGCTATTCATAATGTCTTTCAAATAATCTAGTCTGTTTTCGAATATGTATACGTAACAAACTCTACTTATTACTTACTTACTCCCAATGGAGCATAAACCGCCTTACCAGCATTCTCCAACCTGCCTGATGCCCCATGGGGTTACTGCTGGTCCAGGGCCCGGATAAAAGAAGAGGGTTGTGTTAACGACTTCATCCCGTAGAAAACTAACTCACTAAAAATCGCTAACCAAAAAAATGATTCAGACAATTTAAACCCTGCTTCAGGGAGTTAGAAGGTTATGACGCCTCATGATGAAAGTCGAGGCTGATGCCCATTCTGAAAACCAGAGCAACCATTAATTTATGTACATGGAATGCTCGTACAATGTGGGAGACCTGGAAAGTCTTCCAAATTGCTACAGAAATGAAGAGGTACAACCTGGAGGTGCTTGGAATCAGTGAAACTCTAGTTATGTGTTGAGTTTAATCATTTCTAACTAGGTCTATATGAACCACAATGGGGGGAATTATCTGACGTGTTATTTTTTTCTTGGATTGTGCTTACTTACAAATCATTATTCTCGAATGCGAAACGACGGTATATCAGATGCATTATTAACTTTAGATATGTGATCATTGTGTTCACATTGCGTTGCTTCATTCAGTCTAAAGTGTAATGTGAAATCTATGCACTGTTCTTTTCTATTATGAAACGAGCTTTGAGAACCTTTCAAAAGATTTTATCAATAAAGAATTAGGTGATAAACTGCAGTCGTCAGTGCTAAATCCTCAATCATTCTGACCGTAACCTTAAGGTAGTAGTGTGCAGCACTTATGCAATTGTATATTGATGGAGTAGATAGATTTAAATATAGTCGGAGGTATAAATCTGGCTTTATCAAGTCCGAGAACATTCTGTGCATCAACTTTATTATTTTACATGTTCAGATTTGTCCAATCTCTTGAAGAAAGTATAGACAAATATTTGAGCGTAATAACATCAATTTTCTTCATTTCACCTGCATCATGATACGCTGCTTACACCCTGTAGTATTTATTGGTCAAAATTTCAAATTACTTTGAGGACACCTACACAACTCAATCTTTCTAGACGCATTTATTACCAGTAGACATCAACATGAGTTTCCAAGTAAGAAAATTATATATGGATGGAAATTACATTACATAGACAACTACAAAACAGCAATGGTGTTAGAAATAAGTAGTTATGTGACGAACAAGCACTAGTTTTAAATAGAAAAACGTTCAGTAAAACTTACTAATAGATTTGAGTTTAAGAATTATTAAATTCTGTCAGCACAGCAGTTCTAGGTAGGATCCATGAATAATCGAATTCAACTACGTCTGGTGTAAGACAGTTATCCACATCAGGCAACGGGAGATAGAAGCACAATTCGGTGAACTGACTGAAGTTGAATATTCTAACTGAGTGATCTACATGGATTAAAGATTTGTATGTGAAACCAAGGGTCCTGAGTTTTGTTTGTTTTGACGAGCTTATGATTGGACAGTGCTGAGGAGTTCTGTACTCGCATGAAACAACCTGAATGTGCTTCCATGTTCCAAACGTTTATGATTCAGAAACCGCGGAAAATCTATGATCGTCACAAAACCTTATCAAGATGAAATTATTGAACAAGAAGGTAGTCAAAAATCAAATAATCATATATTCAATTGAATGAAAGCTTTTGAAAGATCTTTGCAATAGAATTGTCTTTTACCAAGGTAGGAAAAATGCATCAACATATTTTCAGGTTACTGACGGCTGTGATTATTCTCTCTGGCAAATTTTAGAGAACCATAACTTATCTATACTTAGATATTTCAAGGTATCGATGCAATATCTTTTTTACAATGAGTGTTTACGGATTGCACTATACAAAGTCCTTTCTTCTCTCTAGACGAAGAAATAATCAAAACGTTTATCATTATTATGAGTTTCTCTCTGATTCATAAAGTGATCTTGGTAGGTAAATAATAAATGGCGGACACTAAAAGAAGTATTTCGAAGATGGGAATTATTAACCTTGGATTGAGTAATTAATCACATTATTTCATTGAGAAATCATAGTTTGTTTGCAGGGTTTTATCTGAATATGAATCGACATGATGTACAGAATCTTTGTTTCTTTTTCTCACATTCCTTCCTCACTATCTATTTGACGAAAAGTCTAAAACATATTCCTAACTTATAATTCATTATTAATGATATTTCAGATTGATTTACAAACAGTATGTGATCTATATGAAGCAGAATATGGAATCTATTTGGCAGATGATGTAAAACAGAAGTATTTCAATAAACAAGATAATGCTTTGACAAATCTTTTAAAGACAGAAAAATCAATTGTCTTTTAATCTTCAGAGCACCTGTCCCTTCAATGGAATTTTTGTTAAACATCATGCTGTTCTTTTTAAATCTCCATAATGGTTTCTGAAAAACAGAATGATTTAAATAACTTAACAGTTATTTGCTTTAACTAACTTATTCATTCTGGAATCTTGTGTTGTTATGTTAAGCAATCCAAATTATAATTAGAACAAGTGATTAACGACGCACAATGCTAATTTTTCATGTTTATTTGTTGTACGACATGGAATGATGCATAATATAACAGTTAAAGAAACTAGTTTGTTTTGTACAATGGATATGCCTGACACTTTTCGTTTCAGATATATCTTTGTATGTTGATTACGGTTTTCGTTTTGTCACACATAATCTACTAATGAATAAACTCTTTCAGTAAACTGTAGTTAGCTCTAATTACTGTAGGTAAGATCGAAACAATGAGCGCAAGATATGTGGATTATGAACAAATTACTGTTGCGTATAATATTACTTCAGTTAGTGGGGCGAAATTATATTTTATGGACGAACCAATCGGATATAAGATAAAAGGTCTTGGATTTTGGCGCAAAATTTATTCATCCATTTGATCAAAAAGCGTTTTCGGTATTTTGGCTGATGTCAGTTTGTGATGAAAACCACAAATCTAGTTCCTGACCCTTAACCATCAACAGTAAATCTTAATTATAGTTCCTCATCATATTTTATAACCCTTGTTTGGTCTTAGTTGGTATGTGGTATTTTCAAGGTCACTTTTGTTGGGATATTCAGAAAAATATCCCAAAAAATTATTCTGTTTAGCCTAATGCTATCCTTGGACATGAAATTTGTATCATCCCATTGGTCAATATTCATTTAACGTGTCATTTTCCTACTGGTCAATATTGTTCAATGTTATTTTCTATTTTATGGTACGATTTGGTCTGCTTGATTAGTATATAAGCAGAGTGTGTTTGAAATAGAATGATTCATATATCCGAGGGTGGGACTTGTGTTCTGGACTCAACTGGCTGGGCTAGACAGGGAAGCGCGACCAATCAGAACCCTAGGTCGTTCTACGTGTTTGCGCGTCTTTGGTCCGATCAATAATTCGCTGTCCTCTAATCTGCATCATCACACTATAACAACTTTAGAGTCAATCAAAGATCGTCCATAGATTTAAGTTTCACCTAGGATGGCACAAAGAAATAATCAACGTACTGTAGTGATGCTTAACATTTTGTAATGCTTGTAGTCTCAAAAGCATTTGAATGGATTATAAGAACTCTGGTACCCTTGTCAAAAACTGATAAATATATCCATAAAAAGTACTGTTCTATACAATAAATTCCACAGTTGATAAATAAATGTTATGGTCTCATATAAAACAGAAACTGTTGTGGAATGATTGAAATTGGATTTGAAGACAATCTGTTTTGAAGTTCAAATTTTGCCACACTTTGAATATTTATATCAGATGTTTTAGTGTACGATAATCTAGCAAAATGAAACTGCAAAGTTGTTAAACAACGAATACAATTATTTACTAAGTTGTTATACGATTGAGTTTAATGTTTATGTATATACTGTATTACTTACTTACACCTGTTACTCCCAATGGAGCATAGAACGCAAACAAGCTTTCTACAACCCACTCTGTCCTGAGCCCTCTTTTCTAGTTCTATCCGACTGTTATTTATTCTTCTCATGTCTATCTCCACTTCTCGGCATAATGTGTTCTTTTGTCTTCCTCTCCTCCTTTGGCCTTGAGGATTCCAAGTAAGGGCTTGCCTTGTGATGCGGTTGGGTGCTTTCCTCAATGCGTGTCCTATCCACTTCCAGCACTTCTTCCTGATTTCTTCCAGGTCCCCTTCCTTACACTTTGTTGGTACTTGTTCTTCATCCCAAATCTTGCTGAAGAGAATGTGGGGTACCTTTGTAGTTACTTCTACATCTGCTTTGCTGGTCCCGCTACTTTTCGACTCTGGATTTGACTGATGGTCATGCTGCATAAAGTATGAATAAATATTTAGATGTTAGGGTACATAATAATGTATCGTTAAGATGTTTCTTAAATAGTGATTATCAAACACTGAAAATGATTTGACTTGAGTTTTGGAAGACCTTTCACAATTATCATAAGATTTGGAGATCTTTTATTATCACTGCCGCACAGCTACTGGTGACTTTACAGTCATATATTATAATACTAATAGGAACGAAACTTTTTAAATTCTGACTTCTTAGCTGATCTCCAAACTCTAGACATAGAAGATTGTTGTAAACAGAAAGTCAGGTTCGGAAACGGGCTTGATTCAAAAGTTGATTAATCCTCCAGGAACAAAGAGTGTTTACAAAATTACTTATGGTATCTTTAGACATGCTGATATTCTTAGAAAACAAACAGTATAAATAATAATGTTTTTGCATTCGACCAATCAAATTGTGATTCCTATATTTTTCACTGAATTGAAAATAATAATCTAAAAATGTAATGTGATCGTTTGTCAAATGAACTTCATCAGTTTGAAAGTTTCCGCCTTGCCGTATATGATTGGTAGGTTGCCAACATAAATTTAGACAGTATTGAATGGTCCTGTATTTAAATCCAGTTAGATCGTATGATGATTGTTGTCGGAATATGCACTACGGCTACTCACGTACATAATTATCTGCTTAAATCATGTTAGACAATAACGAAATAAGCCAATTACGAGAATGAATTTCGAACACATGTTTTTCTGACGGTAGCTCTTCTAGGGTTACTACCGCTCCCCAGCCCGGGTAAAAGAGGAAGGCTGAGCATGAAGCCAGCAACCAAGTCCCATAGAAAACAACCTTGATGGAAAGACGTTATTCAGAATATATAATTGAAATCATTTAAAATCGATCCTCCGAATTCAATGATCTTCACTCAGAAGAGATATGACACCTCGTGGTGGAAGTCCAGATTCTTCGGAAGTCATGATGACGGTGCCCCTTCTAAAAACCAAAGCAATAATAACTATGCGTACATGAAACGTCCGGAAAACGTGGGACGCCGTGAGGACTAATCAAATAACTACGGTAGTGAGGAGATAAAACTTAACGGTTCTCAAATTCGGTGAAACACATTGAACCTAATCTGGAAAAATGTTAGGTTCGGGAGAGATGCTGTTGCACTATAGTCACGAAGTAGGAAATGTACAGCAGACTCAGAGCATCCATCGAAACAAAGAAGGAAGGAATCACAATGAATGTTATCCTCTGTTATGTACCTACTAATGACAACGAGGAAGACGATAAAGATAAATTCAAAGGAAGGTTGCAGTCAATCATAGAGAAGTCCCAAGGAAAAATATGACCATCCTGATAGATGGTCTGAACACCAAAGTAAGAACGGACAGCAACGATTATGAAGGCATCATGTGACGAAATGAACTGGGAAAGAGTAACCATAATCGTGTCAGATTTGCAAGTTTATGTGCCTCAATATATTGGTTATATGTGGCACAGTATTTTCACACAAACACATACACAAAACTACATGGGTCTGGCCGGATCACACTACAGAGAACCAGATAGGTTATATAGGCATCAGTAAAAACGTCAGAAGGATAATTGAAGAACTGGGAACCAGGAGAGGAGCTGACTTAGTTTCAGACCACCACCTGGTAGTTCACAAACTAAAACGTTAGCTGGCAAAGGATCAAATCAACGGAGATATAACATCACAATGGTTTATTACCGCATTCATTCGAGATACTGACAAATTTAAAGAATTTAAGATAGGTTTCAACCGCAAGTCCCAAGCCCCACAACATCTCAATGGAGAAGAAACTACTCTGTTATGCTCTTATGTCTTCTTAACTATCACATGACTGAATCGTCAATTAAAACATCGACGTACATGACCTCGGCACTGTTCTTAATCAATGACACGTTAACTAATACCAGCAGCCTAGATTCAACCCTGAGTTCCTTTTGCCTCTTCTTGCCTTGACCTCCCCGTTATGTCCAGAACACAATCTCAGCTTCCACTGTATAAATCGTAAATTTCAGACGAACGTGGCTTATATACAGGCAAACAGGATCACATCACGCCATAAAATAAAAGATAATAATTATAAAAGATTAGGCTGAAAGTGGATGTGATTGTGAGACTGTAATTAATACATAGGGAATAACTTGTGAATGGTAAATTGTATAATTATAGTCAGTAGGTCAACCGAAAGCTTATAATGAAAGGGATATGAACATACATATAACATAGTTACTTAACAGTGGTCCAATAGTATTATATGTAATATTATTCCATAAATAATTCTTCACAGTTACCGTTCATTTATTCTTTATTCGGACACAATGCTGTGGAGGATAACTGGAAGTGAATAAGAGAAGCACTAACTTCAGAGTGACGAGAAGTGTCGGGACGCAAAGAACATTATAATAAGGGATGGATCTTTATGGAATGGCCGGTCATCAAACAAATGAGTGAATACATAAACAAAGAGGAGATCCTCCATGAACAGCAACATGGGTTGAGAAAAGACGGGACGTGAGCATTCAGTCTTCTCACAACATACGACAAATGTAGAGCACAATGGAGTCAGAGAGCACCGGTTCATGTAATTTTCCTTGAATTGGCGAAAGTGTTTGACAGAGTGTTGCACACAGTACTCGTTTAAAACGTGACGAGTTTACGTTTAACTGATTCATTTCTGTTTTGGCTCTGTAGCTACCTAGTACACAGGACGTTGAATGCGTACCAGCTATTTACGCCTCAGGAATTGGAGTACACAAAAGGTCGTCTTAGGTCCACTTTTGATTTTGATCTCTATCCATAACCTAGATAAAACGAGCTCTGTAGCGCCTATGCGCGCAAATAACGCGGAGATATGGAAGTTCATGCAAGACGAAATGGGTTCCTTTGGACTCCTAAAAGGCCTATTGGGATTAAGGCATTGGTCTATCTATATAAAGATGCCACAAGTAATTGGAATTTGATAACGTAAAATCAAAAGTCGGAAGCGAAAAGATCTGAAGGTATATTTGATAGGCTATCGATAAATCAAGTAGTTATCAATCTAAGCTGGTTAGCGGCGTACCCAATCGTGATCTAGTGCGGATGCTTGACCAAGCGCCCTCAGCTAGGCGAGATCATTAAGACTAATGTGGTCAGCAGAGATATTGATTTTGGGTAGCTATCACTATACATCTGTGCTAACAAATTAATAAACTGTACCAAAATTAAGAGCTTTCTATCATGTCGTACGTACCACTAATGTCGACAGATATAAACATTATTTAGCACTAACCAGGAGTAGAATTATTGGTGCCAGAAAGTTAAGTGGATCGACTTAAATAAAACAGAAAGGAAAATAGAAGAGTATTGTGAATTGGAAG